GTGGAAGAACTGATGTGTATAAAACAAAGTTACTTCTTCCCCTTTTAACCTGTGACTTTTATCCTGATAGATGTAGTAAGTCATTGAGATACAACTGCAGGGTAGCAGACAGTCCTGACTCATTTTAAAAAGGCTGTACCCTCATATGGGTATATCCCAGGACAAGGACTCTCTTTCAGTACATCTAGACTAGGAAAAAAGTTGGGCTTTTAAAGATACTAGCTAATGTGGTTTGACTAACATGTTTTGAAACCTTGCATAAATAGGATAAGTCAAATGCTAAAAGGTGTTTAAAAGTGTTTGCTAAGTCATTCTAAAAATATAATTTTTATACCTGTCTAGACAATGACAGAATACTTCTTAAAATGGCACACCATGCTCACGGGAAGTCCCACTGCCAAAGAGAACAGCATAGGAAAGGATCAATAAGAAGTTTCTTCACACACGTCTTCAAAGCAATGGCACGGACTGACATGCAGGAAAACCATGAAGGCCTTGTCTAGACAAGAGAAAAAGATCCCTTTTTTTCAGTAGATTTAGTTCAGTCAGGCACTCTCTTTTCAAAAGCAAGACCTACTAAAAGTCTACTGAGATAATCTGATAAATTTTAGCAGGTCATAGTCTGGGCTCCTGGCTGACTACAACTCAGCCTGCTAAAATCATGTTAAAAGTGTTGAGGTCTATGTGTCTGTCAGATGGGATTTTTAGTCCTTAAATAAGCTTGATTGAATTAGGTCTCCTGGAAATGGCCCCTTCCCTGAGGCTGATGAGATGGCAGCTCATTTTCCATGCCCATTCAATCGTTTATCCCAAATCATTTGCCTGAACTGTACCAACAAATGCAAAGTTCAATTTGTCTTTAGCATTAGTCTTTCTAGCTGACTGTGAGCACCAATTCGCTCCTACAGGCCACCAGAGCAATTAGTTTTGACTTTGATTTCGTTTTCACTGAAATGTACCCAGACAAAACCCTCGATCTAATCTGTTCCTTTAAACAGCTACTTGAAAATGTCTATCCCACATGCATGCACACATACCCATCGCAACAATTGTCTTCTACAAAGTCAGCACATACATTGTCAGTCATTAATACATATCCTTACACTAATTTGCTTCTACCAAGCTGACTGGAGAGTGAACAAACTGGAGTATCTGTTTCCCAGAATTGTACTAGCATTTTTGACATCTTGAACAATACCTTCAGGAAAGGAAAATGAATTAATAAAGAAACTGAAAAAGTCACTACCACAATTGTAGAACAAGCACAAGCCCAGCCACTCTGACTGTTAATTGTCAGGCCCTTTTTTTCTACATGAAAAAAATCACAACACAACAACAACAAACTAAACAGAAGCAAAAAAACTACAACCAAAAAACCCAAATCCAAACGAAACTTTTAGTTCTATTTATTATTAAGGCTTAATGACATAGATGGGTTATCTAGTAGGAAAAAAATCAACATCTCAATTAGTCCCGTTAGAGATTATGTCTTTATGGCATGGGTGGGTATCTAACATTCAGGGGAAAATTCACAAGTCACCAACTCAATTGAAAGACTCCACCAAATAATAATTTGCTGGTATAACTCCAAGTGACCAAAGTAACACAGTCTGGATGTGCTTGAGACTCCCCGGGTTTAGTAGTCACTTGTCAATAGCTCTCAAACAATGGAGTTGAGAAATGGAGACACTTAAGTTAACTTGATGAGGCTTTTTCACAATTGTGTCAAGTTTTTTTTGGCCTTGGGATGCACCACCTGAAATACTTTAGAAATACACATTGATTTCCTGTTGTGAATAAATAGGAAGAAAGCAAACCTCCTATGCTCAGGAGGCCTGCAGCCAATAAAGTTCATGATTCAGAATAAGACAGAGACTCCACAGCCAGCAAAATTTTTTTGGTAAGCAGTTGTTGTCACCCACAGACCTGGACGCAATCTTTCTGTCCTTTCTGAGCCCAAAGCACCACCAAACATTAATAGGAAGTTGATCTGAATCAGATCAGCATGCTCTGACATGCTGTTCATGTTTTCAGGCTTTCAGCTCTTTCTGTCTTGAAACTTTCTCATGTGTTAAGTCTTTAAAAACTAACCTGTTGTTTATATATGTAGTTAAAACACAATAATACCCATGCAGAGATTTTTTGTGTGTCTGATTTTTTTTTTTGTCCTCTGAGAAAACATCTAATAGCAGATTTCCTCGAGGCCTACTAAAATTTCACGTTGTCCACTAAACTGAGCGGCAAATCTTTCATTTATCCGACATGACCAGAGGAAGGTCCTTTTCAGCGAAAGCAAACAATTAGGAGCCCTGAGTTATTATTTCCTATTATTGTGCAATAAAAGAGGATGTTTCAATGGGAAGGATTAAAGTGACCCGCAACGCAAATATCGTGTATCCAATTTCCTCCTGCCCCCTCCCCCGCACCCCGCGGCAGCACTGGAGGGGAGCGCAGACACGCAGCCCCACGCGTGTCCCCACCCGTGGCTCGTCCTGCCCCCGCGCGTGGGCATTCTGCGAGGACAGAGGTGGCTCCCGCCGCTTCCACGGGTAACCCTGACCGCCTCCTTGAGGACGGGCCCCACCCGGCCGGGCATCCCGCGGGGCCGCCGGCTGTGCCCGCTGCGGGCCGGGGTCCGCGCTGCGCAAGGAGTCAAAGTACACAGCGGCTGGGTCGATAGCCTATTAGGCTAGAAACAGTTCTGCATATCAAAGGCCGATGAACTTAATGACTAAAAATATAAGTACCTGACCCGGAGGATTAATCACACACTGTCAAGCTGAAATTGGTGCAATTCTTCCAATCATTAACGTTTTGCTTACAAAAATGTGCTTTTGTGTTTGTTTTTCTGCTAAATGATAACCATTTTCAAGTTGAATCGGCTGATAAAAAACGTCGAAAACAAGACGGGAGTTGTGCTGGAAAGGTCATACGTGCCAGTTCGGCATGGAATAGCCAACGGGCAAACAAACAGGACAGAGCAGGGTGGCACGGAAGGGGCTCGAAGGTTTTCCGAACGGTGTAAAGTGCTCTGGCTGTTTTTCTCATGCCGAGGAGCAGAGACTGCCCGCGGAGAGCTGCTCGTCCGCCTCGCCGTGGGCATCTCCGTATCGGTCTCTCCCGCTGTGGAAACGGGCTGGGGGAATTAGGGACAGCTACTTGGCTGGTTAGTTCTGATTGGCAGCTCAGTGGGCCCCGCCGATGTGTTTTGCCTCCCTGAGCCCCCCTCCCCGGGTGGGCGGGTGAGCAAGGGACATATCGACAGCGCAGCCTGGGTTCCAGCGCTGTTTGTCACCTGTCGCGACACTCTGGAAATCCACATCCCTGGTCAGGCAGCTGCAGACGGCGCATCTGCGCTCCTCACCTGCAGGGAGCTGCCAAACCCCCGCCACCGCGGGGAAAGCGCCTGGTTTGTCGGGCGCGGCTTCCCTGGACATCGCCGGGGCCGCGACCCCGCGCAGTGCCTCGGGCAGAGCACCCGTCCCGGCCATCGCATCGGGCGAGCCCTGGACAGCGACTGGCCCGCGCCGGCATTGCCACGCGTGGAAATGGGGTGTGCCGGAGTTCACCCCACGGCCCACTCTCTGTCCTACGCGTGTCCCCATCCCCATACGAAAGCACAACCGTAACACGAAGCCGCCTTGAAGAGGCAACGCCAGCTTCGTTCTCCCTGATTTCGGGCGGGACAGATAGACGAGAGAAGGAAAAACGGACGGGGAGGGCCGGGACGCACCTTCTCGAGCGCTCCCTGCCCTGCTTCTGGCCCTCCCACCTCCGTCACCCTCTCTGCCGCAGCTCCCGGCGCTCACGGCGGGCTGTTCCCGTCTGCCTCGGGACCCGGGTTTACAGCCGCGACGGAAACCCTGAGCGAGGGAAAAGCCGAAGGATGGAGAAGCGATCCCCTCCTCGGCGGAGCCCCGCTGTGAGCTGTCTGCTCCCGACGGCGATTTCCCCGCGTGGCACGCACCGCGCTGGCGCTCGATCCCGGCGGAGAAGTGCCCCAGAGGAGCCCTGGGGGCTCCCTTTGTCACGGGTGGTGGTAAACCAGGGGCCGGTGCCCAGGCCCCAGGGCCGCCGAGCGAACGGCGGGCACTCGGCCCTGGCGCGGCCCCGGCGGGAGCAGCTCGGGGGCGGCCGGAGCCTGCTCCCTGTGCCCAGTGTGCACGGAACCCCCCGATCACTTCGTCTTTTAGGGCCCCGTTCGTGATCGCGGATTTAGAATAAGCCAAAGCTAAAGCCACTCATTCAGAAAACTCAGCTGATGTTTCTAGAAGTACTAACCCGCTTAGACGCAACATCCTGGCTTCTCTGAGGGGTATCCCCTTCATCAGTCGCAATAGTCACTTGCTGCTCTCTAAAAACCTTCCTTGGCACTAAAAGCCCCTGCGGCACTTGGCCGGGTCTAGGTCCCTGTTCCCCGGGTGCTCGTTGCGGCGCCTGGGGGAAGGAATACCCGCGCGGGAGCACACCCGGGATACTCGCTCCTGGGAGCATTTCCCGTACCCCAGGTTCCGTGCTCCTTCCCCGGGCCGGCATGATTTCGGAGAAAGGCCGATGAATAACCACTGTTGACTCAGGTGGGTCAGCGGCTGCCCCGGCTGGGGTCGATGCCCAGCTCCAAGCAGGCACCGCCGGCCCTGCTCCTCCTCCAGCCCGCTCCCCCTCCCCGGCCCCCCAGGATCGGGGCGACTCGTGGGTAAACACCTAAGCTTCCAGCCTGGGCTCGCCGGCCAGGTTTTCCTCCTCCCGCCGCAGAGCCCGTTCCCGCGCGGGCACGGGTAGAGGCAAAACCAAAACGCGGGGTGGCAGGCTGAAAAACAGCAAAAAAAAAAAAATAGCAGCGAGCCCAAGTGAAATCCCCGCAACCGAGGGCACTCAGAAGGCTGTGGGGTGGCCGGCCACCAGCACTGCACTGAGGGAAAAGCCCAGTTACAACACAATTGCTGGCAGAGAGGTGGTTTGGGTTTTCTCCTACCAGTAACTGAACGGCCAGTGTGGCAGGTGGTGCAGAGTTTAGGTTTATTTCACAGACATGTCCATCAAAAATTAAATATCAGGTTTTGCCTTTTTTTTAACAATGAACAAATATGTACAAAATATGAACAACGTGAGGTACAAAACCGCAAGACTTTTAAAGAAAACAAGTATGTACAGAAGCAGATATGTATATGATAGGCATTATCTTCCCACTTAACCCCCACACCTGATGCCAGTTTCTCTCCTGCAGCAGGGCCCCATCGCTCCCTGCACTTTCTTCTCAAATACGAAATCCATAAAAAACTAGTGCTAGAGATTTTAAAGGAGAAAAAGATGTTTGTTTGGGTGGGGCTTTATTCTGCAATTGGAACCATTCAGTCTGTGAGGCAAAGTTCTCAAAAATCTGAGAAGGCACATTTCATCTCACACGAGAGGAAAAATGAATCTGTCCAAAGACTCTACCTGACAAATGGAGGCATGTCTCAGTAGAGAGCACCACGGCATATAAAAGGGTGTGAGCATAAGGCACTTCTTGGGATGGCCAAATCCCTCCCTATTTCACAGAACATGTTTCTCTGCTTGTGAAGGGCGTTTAAATTAATCTATTTAAATGACATTTGTTTACACATACAAAGGGCTTCATCCTGCAATCCATACTCACTTCCACACTAGTTAGAGAGTTTTGCCTGATCACCACCAGCAGCTGATTCAGACACACCCCGACCCCCGCCACCTTAAGGACAGGGTGCAGGATTATATTCCAGTTAGAACATTGATTATTGTACAAATATATCTTACAAATAATTAAATACAAACCATGTTCCTTTAACCAAACTAGAGATCTTCCAAAACTGGATTGTTTGCGGAAAATACATCTTTCTTTCTCTGCTTATTATAAAACGAGTCTATTTGGTGATGCTTTTCTTTCAGTTTAACGGTGAAAGTTTTCTCCTGTAGCATAATATTCTTTCAAACCAGCCCCTGGTAAAGTGCAAGCCAAGTTAGGGTCCACTCTCTGCATGGGGCTGTTAATGGGTAGGATTGTAATAGCCTTTATCGCCTTCAATGTCCACTTCTTGATCAGAGTCATCAGAGACATCTGACTCCAGGTCCTCCTGGGAGGCCGGCGAGGGGGTGTACTGCGAGCCATCCAGAGAGACCTCCTTACCCTTCTGCTCAGGAGTCTGGCAGCTCTCCGGCCTTTGGTCACCGTGACTGTCAGCACCTTCCACTTCTTCTTTTTTGGTGGCCTGGGGATTCTCCTGCAATGAAAGAAGCCTGCTTGATACAGAAATACGAGGCCCAGAGACAGGAGGCCTGGGAATTCCAGCTGTGCTGTGTGGGAAAACCACCCTGGGTTTCTTGCAGGAAAAGGCAGGTGTCCCGCTACCTCCCTGGGCCTCCTGCCTATAAACCTGCCTGAGTGGGACAGGGCCGGGCAAGGACTCTGATCGCAGTCCCTCACAGCCACAGGGCCTGCTGCCGTGAATAGGCTCCTTGGCGATGGTTATCGCAGCCACTTCAAAAGAGTCAGGAGCTGCTGGAGCCCAGGAACCTCTGAACTTTTGTCTTTAGCAAAGCAAATGTTTATTATGAGTCTACAAACACCGACACACAGCTTCCTCCTGCCCTGATCTTTCTTTAATTATACCCAACAGCAACAGGAGGGAGGTTGAATCCATCAGTGGCCCAAAAGCAAACGGGAAAAAATTACTAATTAAGCTAAAACTCAACATTAAAACACTCACCACTAAACCCAAACCTAACCAAAACCTAGTCTCTGAAGGTAAGAGTAGCCCTGTGTCGGCAGCTGTCTAGAGAGCCGAGTCCCCTAAGGGGGCATGAAATGATACTCTTAAGAGAAAGCAGGCAGAGACACGTACCCATGATATAACCGTGCAGGCTTGGAGAAATAGATGTGACTGAATGAAAAGGAGGAAATGACTTAAAATGGCTGAGATCCCAAGTGAGCTCTCCGGACACTGCGGCATGAGTTGGGCCCCACCGGGGACCCAGCCTGCCTCTTGCCAGAGTAATGTGACTTTATTAAAAAATCAACTGAAGATCAGGTTAACTCAGATGAAGGTCACAGAACAAATTCATCTAGACTGTGGTACTATGATTATTTTTCTTTTCTTATTACTTTTATATTAAAGGCTGATTTGCCAGTAAAACTCAGCCATCCGTGTCACACTTACTGAAGCCAGACTCAGGCCACAATGTTGGGATTTTTCAAAAATATTTGAGCCAAGGGACCTTGATTTTGCCAAGCCAGGCAGGATTGGGCCCTATGGGCCGTAAAAAAAAATAATTATCTGCTTGAGCACAATATCTAAGGGAAGGGAAAATGCTTTAATCTCTCAGCCTCACACAGTGTAACTATTTGTGAACGAAAAGTAAAAGCTACTCAATTTTCCATGCGGCTCCTCAAAACAAACAAGGTGTTTGTACCTCCCTCTCCCAACGTTTGCAAAATAAATCGACTTGTGTTTATTAAGAGAGGGCGATTTAAAACACCAGTAAATACTGTTCTCAAAAAACCCTAAGTAATTTACTGACAATTACTTATCTTCCCCACGTTAATTGCCTAAACAACATATGGGTTTACAAAACAATTAGCGTGGAGTTTTAATAGGTGGTGTGTGAAAGACGGGCATAATTGATATAGGAACTACATTAGGAGCTTTTAACGTTAGTGCTGCCTGAACGAGTCCTCATGGATTCCAGCATGACTATTTGTCTTTTTAATCAAGGTGAAGAGGTTAAACAGCTTTTCAGATGACTTCTGCATACAACCTGGAATAGGCCAGCACGGCATAAGATAAGACAATTAAAATACTTATTTCTATAGAAACAGAAACATCCACGTACCTGCTTTAAGCGCCTCCATTTGGCTCTGCGATTTTGAAACCACGTTTTGACCTGAGCAACGACAACGAGAGGAGGCACGGGGTAGTCTTGGAGCGAGTAAGTGCCGGGAGCCCTACCCGAGCCACGAGCAGAAAGCAAGAGCCTGCCGCCTCCCTCCTCCCTGCAGCCCCCGAGCTGGCCGGGGCCCCGGGAGCGGAGCGCCGACAGCAACTGCACGGCGGGGACCGGAACGGGGTCGGTGCCGCCAGCCCCAGTGGCTGCCCGGGGATGGGGTGCGGTTCCCCAGGGCACGGGCATGGCCTCACCTGCCTCTCGCTGAGCTGCAGCATCTTGGCCAAGCGCTTCCTCTCCGGCGGGGACAGGTATTTCTGCGTCTCGAACTTCTTCTCCAGCTCGATGGTCTGGTCGTTGGAGAAGCGGACCTGCCCCCCTTTCCTCTTGTGCAGCGGCCGCTGGATGAAGGGGCTCCATAGCAGCGGCTTCCCTACAAAGAGAGGCACAACGCCGAGGGTCACTGGCTGGCCGCGGACACGCGTGACCACGGAGTTCCAGCTGCTGCCCGAGCCCAGACGTGGAGGCGCGCCGGGTCCAGGGCTCGCTAATTTCCCTCGCCTGATTTTACTTCCCCGAATTCCTACTCTGGTCTTTCCCCTCTCTGATTTTTCCCCTCCGCCGAGCAGTGAGACCAGTTAAAGTCTACGGGCTTTGGCAACATTTCCGTCAATGTGTTTCCTGTTGGTCTATCTCGCAAAGAAAAGAGAGAAAAAAAAAAAGAAAAAAAAAGACCTTTGCTTCCTTCTGCTCTTTTACTGCGATGCCCCAAAGCAACCGTCTGCCTTTCTCTAAGTCAGCGCCCAGATCCCCGCGGAGAGGGGACTTCGCGGGGATGGGCGGGGGGGGATGCGCCAACACGACGGCAGTGGGCTTCTGGGAAGAAGTGCCCCCAATTCCCCCACCCCTGGCTGGGGGCTTGCCCGCCACAGGCCGCAGGGTGCCAGCCAGGCTCAGCCTCGGGCCCGGGGTAGTGGTGAGGGGCGAGCCGGCGCAGGCGGCAACACGCCGGAGATCCAGCCCCGCTGCGGAGCGGCCGCCGCGTCCCGGGGCAGGAGGCTCTGGCTAGTGCCACTGAGTCACACTGTTTGTCTTTCTGTCTTGCTGCCTGCACCCTTTGAAATTCGCTGCATTGTTTTTCGAGATTTTGCTTGCGTCAGGCTTTAGTAATTCTGGTGCAAAACAGACTCAAAAAATAGGAAGCAACTGGTTATTTTAGCTGTCATAAAGTCACATCCCACACAGAGGAAATGAACAATATCAGAAAAACGGATCCCGGCTATCAGAAGTCGAGTGTTTCCTGAATTTGTCTGTATTGAGGATGTCGATAAAGTAATCAGCAATGTGCACGACTCCCGAGGAAGAGCCTGCTTCAGGCGGCCAGGAAAACACTTAACAGCTTCTGAAACCAGATTTACTCCTATCGAGAGCTCAAGGTTTCCTGTATGAACGGAAAGGGTCAGTCTCTTTCACTGCACAAATGTGGTGAGTCAGGTCCAGTTTTGCAATCACTAAGAACAAGTGCTGCAGCCCTGGCGCGGGGCTCGGCTCCCGCAGCGGGGACGCTTCCCCCGGCCACGGGCGAGAAGGGGCGGCCGGGGCCCCGACCCGGCTCGGCCCAGCCCGCGGAGGAACCGCGGGGGCCCCAGTGAGCGGAGCCGGCCTCCCGGCTGTTTTTCAAGTCATCCGCAGGAAAAGGGTGAGATCTGCCATGCGATCTCCCAGTACAATTAAAACTCCCCACTAAAACCACACGCGACATTACTAAGGATACTCTCAGAGTCACTTGGTTGAAGGAAAACAAATCTGAGTCACCGCGGCCGCGCACTGTGGTCTCGCTGCCAGGCTCGGAGCGCGGCACGTCTTTAATTTACTGTAAATCTGACGGGGGCCGGAGGGAGCCGGAGGAGCGCAGAGAAGCAGTGGGGCGGGCGGGGAAGGGGGCAGCTTTCACGCACTTCTCATTCACCCCAAGCCCCGACGGCGGGCGCGGGGCGGCGGCACGCAGGGAGGGCGGAGGGGAGGCACATGGCTTACCCAGAGGGTCCTGCCGGATCAGGGCGTGCGCGTAGTCGCCGACGGCGCGGGGGAAGGAGTAGAGGGGCCCGGCGTAGGCGCCGGTGCCGTAGGTGGCGGCGAGGTGGTGGGAGAAGGCCGGGTGGACGGGGGTCGGCTCGTAGACAGGGGTCCGGTACGGGGACACCAGGCTGGTGAAGGAGGAATTGGGCGACGGCAGAGTCGGCGGCGGCGGGGCAGGCAGGGAGTGGGGGGCCGGGGCGGCGGCGGGGCCGCGGCCCAGGATGTCCTCGATGTAGAAGGGCGTGGGGTGCGCGGGCTGGAGCAGCGGCGTGGGCGCGTACAGCGGGACGCCGACGCCCAGGGCCGCCGGCGCCGCGCCCGGCGGCTGGTACTGCATGGCGCGGTCACCGCCCGCGCACCCCCGCGCCCCCGGCCGCCCCTGCGGAAAGCCGACCGCGGCTCTGGGTGCTAGCACCGCCGCCGCGGGTTTCTCTGGGCTCGGGTTACCCTTCGATAGGTTTCTATTGGCGCGGGGCGGAGCCCGCGTGGTCTCTGTCCCCTTCCTGCCACGGCGCCGTCTGGCCAATGAGCCCGGCCAGGGAAGGGGGAAACCACCCCCCGCCGGCAAACACTCCCCCCGCCTCCCCTAGCGAACTCCCTGAGGCGCCAATCAACCACCGCCGCAGCCCGGGGGAGCCGGGGCGAGCCCCGACGGCACAGGGGGCGCGGCGCTGCCCGCGCCGCCTCCCGTTCCTCGGCCCGCGCAGGGCACAGCGTTACCCAGTTTTCGGGCTTCGCCACGGGAGATTGCTTGACGCCGGCAGCGTGGCCCGGACACAGACTGAGGGAGGAGGCGGAGAAGGGGACGGGCACCCCCCACCCGGTTCGCGCCTCTCCTTTGCAAAGGTCCCCGAGGGCGCTCCGCCTGACTGCGTGGACCGGGAAAGCGGGGGCGGCGGGAGCGTGTGGGCGGCGGGACTGGACCGGCTCCTGCCCCGTCCCCTAGGACAGGGCCGAGACCGAGAATCAGGAAGTCGCGCCGCGCTGCTCCGCGCCCCGGCCGGCAAACTGGGAGGCGGTGGGGGCGGCCGCCCCCGGACGGGGATGGAGACCCGCTCCCCGACAGCCCGGGGAGGGGAAGGCGGCGTGGTGGCCCGAGCAGCGCCACCTGGGCACCATCGATTTAATTTTTAAAATTTGTGATTCCTCCTGCCCCCCCGGCGCCCCCAGGGAGGGACGTGCGCTCCGTCCGGGCGCCGCGAGCTCCCGCTGCCGGGCCGCCCCTCGCCCAACAGCGCAGTGTCGGCCGGACTTGGGCGGAGGGGCGGCGGGAGAGGTGCGGGAGGGGCAGCGACTCCCGCTCTACCTGCGCCCCGTCAACCACCCGGGGACTCGCGCCCTAGGGCAGTGGGCGGCACCGCCTTCTCCCCCTCCGTGGGAGCGGAGGCGGCAGGTGCACCCTGTGTGTCCGCGGACCCCGCCGGGCCGCCCGTCCCCTGTCTCCCTCACACGCCCCCGGGCTGACAGCGAGCACGGAAAGCTGTTAGGGAATAGCAGGTGCTGGTTTAACTTTCTTTCTTTCTTTCTTAAGAAGAAAAAAAGGTCTCCGGTTCAAACCCACGAAGATCTTAATAACTAGGAGGCTCAGAGCAAGACGAAAGGGTGTTGGTGAAATGGAAATATATATATATATATTTAATAATATAGGGAGGTTGAGGTTTCTTTTTCTTTACATTGTTAGCAAATGCCAAAACTCACCTTTAAAGCGTGGTCTTGTGTCTTGTAAATATCAGGTACACGTAAAGCGAGCTGACAGTTTTGATTATTTTTTCTCTCTGTGCTCAGTCTCCCAGGCATTGCTCTTTCCAAGGGGTTTAGTTAATGTTTTCATCTGGAAGTGTTGGATTTGCAGCTTGATTTACTTAATAAATGTACAGTAAACCGCTGACCCGTTGCCCTCTGTAATAACGACGTGCATGATACGAGGCAGCAGAATGGAGGGCCTCCACAATATTTTACAAGCTGTCGATTCAAAATCTTGAGAACAAGTTTATGCAAAAAGAAAAAAAAAGTTTTGCTGTATTATTGGAAAACAAATAAATAGAGGAAGAGATTATTCTTTTCTGACTTTTATACAAGCAATAGGCCTTGTTAAAAGGAAGTTTTAATGGCACAGTTATTACATTCCACTACCACTGCATAATCCCTAACAAGAAAAATGAAGCACTTAATTTTGCAGTTCTAGAGCACCGCCCCTTTCAAATTCAATTGTTAGACCTCAGCCTTCCTCCTTCCACGGGTTGGAGACTATTAAATCCGCATTCATGAAATGTCACATTTATTGAACTACATAATTTTTTAATATCACTAGTGCAGGTTTTATAGTTGATTTTATTGTTTTTACGGCCATTCGGGGCTCTAAAACCCGGATTTTTTCAATGTTGTCCTTATAATTTTTTTCACACAGTCAGAACTAATAAAATAGAACAGTTGTGACTTTTTAATGCAAGGGGTCTCGGAGTTTCAATATTTTCACTCTGCTGGATACTAAAACCAATAAAAATACATGAGATTTTAATTATTTTCTGGATTAAATAAAACCTTTTCCCTTTCGCTTGGAACATACATTTTGTTTGTAGTTTCTGTCGTGAGGGAGATAATGCAGCTTCGGCAAAATACATTCTTACCAATATTGTTGTGATGAATGAGGTTTTGACCGGATTTTACAGTCTAATGGTCATTTAAAGTAAGGTGCTGTAGATCAGGGCAACCAAGACAGTGCTTTAATATTTCTATTATTTCTTCTCCGGGTTCTCTCTGGAAAGCTCTCCAATTTGTTTGAAAAACCTCGGGAGGGAGAGAAAATACACTCCTTTCCCGAATTAAAAAAAAAAAAATTTCAAAAAAAAAAATTCTTTGACATTAATTTTCTTGGTATGCACTTGAAATACCCCAAGTTTTCCTGCTAATCTGGGGACTTCTGAAGGGCAGCGGGGAGGGATGTGTGTGCATCCCCGCACTGGCACAGACTCAGCCCGAAGGAATCGGCTGGAGAACTCATTATTTTGTGCAATAACTTCGGGGCCCTGTCTTCCCCTTCACTTTCCGTGAAATCCCCCGCCTTCGAGGAGTTCTGAGCTTAAGGAAAAAATAATAATAACAATCAGGGCCCCCACTTGCTCCAGGCGGCCCGGCTGCCAGCCCCGACGGCAGTGCCGGGGGAAACGCCGGGCTCCCCGCGGGGCGGACAGACGGAGCAGCTCGGGCCGGGGGAAGCCAGTGCGACTGTGCTGCTTCGTGCGACCCCCAAGCCGGGGCTGGCGGGGACGGGGTCGGACGGGCTCCCCGGGGGCAGGCAGCGGGGTCCTGGCTGCCACCGGCTGCTGCTTGGCCGCCCCATGAGTGATGCTGCCACGGCGGCCTCGCAGGACGGTGCCCCCGGGCTGTGCCATAAGCTTGGCCCAGCCACGTTCGTCGGCTGCTTTGAGCCTAATTCCTCCCGCTCCCAGCCCTTGTCCTGCGTGGAGTCCGGCGCAGTTTTCCGCGAGGCGCTCCACAGGTGCCTCGAGGGGCGATGGGGAGCTTACCGGAGGCAGCGGGCACGGCACTGACTCCGATGTGGCTCTGGAGCCTCCCGCCGGCCGGGGCTGCGGGGCCGCGTCGGGGTCCGGTCCCGCTCCGCGGCCCGGCTGCGGGTGGTCGGGTCTCCACCTCCCCCAGCCCCGGGGCGGGGGCGCAGCGCACTTTAATTTAGCGTTTATGTGTCACCGTGTTCGTGACCGGGTTTTACGGGGCGGCGGTAACGCGAAACACCTGGACGGCGGCACCGCGGGCGCGCACGGCGCGGGGGGCGCAGGCGGCTGGGGGCAGAGGGCGCTGGGCTGCGCTGGCTTGTCCTCAGGCCCGTGCGTTAAAGTAAAATAATTATAATAAGAAAAAGAAATAAAAACCACAACCCCCCAGTGTCGGAAAATGAGCGAATGAGTGCTTCCAAAACCAGTGACACATGCCAAGTGATATTTCCACTGCACCCCTCGTTACCTGCGACAGACACCCTGATAAACAGAAGATTCCTAATTCCTGGGATGGTTATTTCAGGCAATACATAGACCAATCCATGATTTATAAGTGAAGCACAGAACACTTTTCTTTGCCTTGTGAATTCTGCCGTCACTACGCGTACCTGCCTCGTTTCTGCTCTTTAAACTGAGTCTCACCCATAACGGCACCCTCTGTGACACTGCAGACTTCAGAAGAGTTACAACAGAGATGGATCATTCCTAGCCACAAAAACTGTGTTTGGCAGTACAGAATTAGTGAGCAATCCAGCAAAGTCCATCTTCTAACAGCTGGAGTGAGCTACCGGCAGCGTCATTCCCTAATGCTACAGGGCACTTTTCGAGAGGATCCAGCCTGCAGCCATTCCATCCCTTCCCATTATTGAAAATATTTCAAGACTCTTCCAAGAGAGGTGAGGCCACAGACTTGAACACCTTCCAAGGAGGAAATAGGAGGGAGTTTACCTCTCTGATTTTCCTAGTGCCGTGGAAGCCAGACTGCTGCAGACAGAGGCACTGCACGTTGCCGGGTGATGTCAGTTGGTGCTGCCTTCTTCCAGATAACTCATCTGTTAGATATTTGCTTCTTACATCTTCCTCCTCCTCACCATCATGATTTGATTTAATAAATGAGTTACAACCGTAATAAATATTAAGGCAAGTCAGTCATAAAGGCATTCATTAGATGTAGCAGAACAAGACAAATCTTGGTCTAAAAAGGGGTGGACAACATGTGAACTATTATTCTCAACAGAGATACATCTCTACAATTTTGCCAAATTTAAATCATACAGGTGAAAAAAAATTATATCCTAAGGGAATATGCATCATGCTGAGTATGTTTGAGGTTTCAGGAAAACTGGTTCAGCTGTTTCTGAGCATTGGGTTAGAGGAAAGCAGATTTTTTTCTTGCTGGCCTTTAGACATCCTTGTTTTGCACTGAAAACCTGCAGTGCCCCACCAAAAGGAAAACTTCAGGGGATGAAAGCAACCAGCAAAAAGTCGGCTAGGGTTGCCTCTTAGTTCTTCCTTTGGTCTTTTACTCGGGGTTGTGGCTTACAGTCAGGCAAAATAAAGATCCCAAACCTCTGCAGAGAGTCACAGACACCTCGTGAATGTTTAAGCCACCCATAGGCTTGGTTTACCTTTCTGATGATTTGAAGAGTTCTTCTTTCCTGACATCGAACATGTGTGTGCGTGAGACATGCTGCCACCAGCAAGTGCTTTTCCTATATGCTGTCACCAGCTCTGAGGGGGAAAAAAAAAGCTACAGAAAAGTAATGGTGCTTTTGAGTCTTGTCAAGGAATTCCAAGCCACCACATGACAGACCCTCAGGGG